TATTATTGAAATTGACTTCTAAACAGTACAAAAATCCCATACAAAAAGATTCATGATGAAGATGAAGATGAGATGAAGATGAAGATGAAGATGAAGATGAAGATGAAGATGAAGAAGATGATATTGGTATAACGTCTTAAATTCGATTCAAACTTCTCTCCTCATTATCTTCCCATGTTTTTGACAAGAGTGGTTCTAGTTGCATACCCATTTTTACTCTTCAGTCTTCATACCCCCTCACCTTTAGGAACCAAAACTTATTATTTTCAATAAAATATTTAGTATTTCACATTTCTCAGCTAATTCTTATATTTTTCCTCTAACACCTATTTTTCATTCATTTCTAATATGTCATCTACATACACACACACACAAAAAAAAAAAAAAAAAAAAAAAAAAATCAGTAGAATTTTGCAAGAAAAATAATGCTTGAAGAATAATTTTATATATAAACATTTTACTGGTGGAAGTCAAATGTTTTTTCGTTCTTGTTATTATACAGACCTAATTTGAAATTTTTGTCTAAGGCCTCATATTGTCTTGAGCTGTGTGGGCTTTGAGGCAAAACTTGTGTTTACTAAACACTATGTTGGGAGTTAGGGGGAAAAAAAATTATGTGCGTGTTTGGAATCCATTTTAAAAACACGTTTCACGTTTTTTTTAGGAAAAAAATGAAAATGCTCTAAAGATTGCATTTGACACCGCATAGTATGAAAAATAAAAATAAAAACGTTTTCTTCTTTCTCCCAAAATTTCAAAAAATTCTGAAAATGATTTGTATTCGGTTTCCTTTTCCCATTTTCATTTTTTTCAGTCTTATTCTCATGTTGCAATATGTGACGTAAGGTGCAGGTGAGAGATGTAATGAAGATGCAAGATGAGCTCTACTCACCCATACAGCTTTGTGTATCTCAGTATATTTAAAAGATGGTTGTAATTGAATTTTTGCGTTTCTTTTCTTTAGAAATCAAAAGCCAATCGTATTTGAATTTTTTTCACTAATCATTCACTAAGTAATCTTATTTGTAATTATTTACTAATTATTTGTAACGTACTTAAAAAAAAAAATGCTTTGTAGTTGACATGCTTAGAAGAAATATTTTATTGCTAATGCTAATTACTATGTTCTTATATATAAATTAACTAATAATATGTGTGTATGGTAATTGGTATTCTAATTGTTTACTATTTAAGTATGCCAAGACAACTGATAAGTAGTAACTATAAAATATTTACATATAGCATATATGTATATATTATATTAATTATTAGTGTATTGATTGGGGAGTTTATTAATTAATTAACTGATATATTACTTAAAGTACTATTATATGCTTTTACAAATGTAAAACCAAACAAAGTTTCAGTTTTTTCTTATATTGAAAACAATATCTGAATAAAACTATCAAATGCATTTTCAGAAATGATTTATGTCTGAGATTGAAAATGTTTTCATTTCTATTTTTATATACAAAATAAAATCATTTTAAAACGTGTTCCAAACGCGCCTTATATGTTGGCAGTGCCAGAAAGAGAAAACAGGAGAAAGATGAAAGATAGGAGGGTGAGAACATGGGTAAGGGAACAATTACTATTTTACCTACTTATTTGTAATATTCAGTTTGAAAACGAAGTCAAATAGGTAATATTATATCTCTTGTTGTTTAAATGTGATAATTTTTCTCCTAAAATCCCTACTTGTGGATATGGATTAAACATAGTGAGTCTAACTTGCATTATTTTCCCTTAAACATAAAATAAAACTACTACTTATGATGCATTAATTATGGGGTCTTTATTATTAGAATTGTAGACAAATTTATTAAGGAGTATACGATCCGATTACCTTCCTAGAGTAACTTAGGACAGTGCCGGCTCCACTTCAAGGCCATTTAGACAATGGTTTAAGGCCTCACATTCAAATAAGACCCGATATCTAGTGCATCATTTACTCACTACTAATTTCTCACATTAATACATTAATTATGGATTAAACATAGTGAGTCTAACTTGCATTATTTTCTCTCAATAGGCCATTTCTCACATTCAAAAAGACACTAGAAAACTACTTATGTATAAAAATTTATTGTAATTTTATACGTTACTAGTAATAAAGATATATATATTGATTTTTATATGTAAACCTTTTTTCCTCATTTAAAGATTTTGCTTAGAAAAAAAGAGATAAATACCTCCTTAAACTATATAGGTCTGAATTTTCACCCTTTAATTTTGGATATTAATCAAGAGTAGAAAATAAAAATTCAGATCTATCCCCTCTAAACATTACAAGAATAATCATTTTAAGAGACCAAACTTTTTTATACCAAAAAATTTTTAGTAGCAAAAAACACACATTTTGTTACCAAACTTTGGTAGCTAAAATTATCAAGGCTTTAGTTACCAAATTTGGTAGTAAAAATAACACAATCCGCTATCAAATATAATTTGGTAACAAATAACATGGCGGGAAATGAAATTTGGTTCCCGCCAATAGTTTTTTGCTACCAAAATAATATTTGGTAACAAAAGCATAAGATTCTGCCACCAAAATTTGATAGCAAAGTATTACTTTTTTACTACCAAACATGTTTTGGTAACAAAATGTTGTCGGGAAGTAAAAGTTTTTCCCGCATGAGGTATTTGCTACCGAATTATTTTTGGTAGCAAAACATATAAAATTTGCTAACAATTGTTAGAAGCAAAATATAACTATCTGCCACTAAAATTTGGTAGCGAAAAGTCAAGTTTTTGCTACCAAATTTTGGTAGCAGCAAACAAGATTTTGCTACCAAATTCATATTTTGGTTGCAAAAAGATGTTTTTTGCTACCAAAAGTTGTGTTTGGTAGCAAATTATATAAAAACTTTAAAATTTATATTTTGTGCTTGTATTGTTCTTTTTTTAGTTTTCCATGAATATGTCCTATATTATGTTTCAACAATCATCCTAGTATATTTTGTATAACAATTATTTGATAATTTAGTTATTTTGTGTAGGTGTAACAAGAGACATATTCATGTATATACATATGTGATCTTGTTAATTAAGTATATATTCCACATAGAGTAGTATATAATCTCGCTATTTGATTGATTTTTAACTTTGAATAATGTATTTCATTTTTAAAACTATATTTTTTTGTTATAATGCTATTAAAACAATGATTCTAAAATAATTTTTGTCATTAAAATGTTATTTTTTTTTAATTTTTAATATATGTCTTTATGGTACTAAATTCAAATTTGGTAGCAAAAAATATACTTTAAGCTACCAAAACAATGTTTGGTAACAAAAAACATAAGTTTCTCGTACCAAATTTTGACAGCAGAAAATATGATTCTGCTACCAAATTCATAGTTTGGGGACAAAAATACATTTTTTACTACCAAAGTTGTGTTTGGTAGCAAATCATATAAAAACTTTAAAACTTACATTTTGTGCATGTATTTTTTTTTTTGTTTTCCATAAATATGTCCTATATTAAGTTTTAACAATTATCCTAGTATATTTTGTATAGCAATTATTTGATAATTTAATTATTTTGTGTAAGTGTAACAAGAGACATGTTCATGTGTATATATATATGTGATCTTGTCAATTAAGTATATGTTCCATATAGAGTAATATATAATCTTGCTATTTGATTACCTTTTAACATAGAATAATGTATTTCAATTTCAAAACTATATTTTTTGTTATAATGTTATTAGAACAATGATTCTAAAATAAATTTTGTCATTAAAATGTTATTTTTTTTTAATTTTTAATATACGTCTTTCTAGTACCAAATTCAAATTTGGTAGCAAAAAATATGCTTTCAGCTAACAAAACAATGTTTGGTAACAAAAAACATAAGTTTCTGGTACCAAATTTTGGTAGTAGAAATATGAGTCTGCTACCAAATTCATATTTTGGTGACAAAAAGGCATTTTTGGCTACCAAAAGTTGTGTTCGGTAGCAAATCATATAAAAACTTTAAAATTTATATTTTGTGCTTGTATCTTTTTTATTTAGTTTTCCATAAATATGTCATATATTAACTTTTAACAATCATCCTAGTATATATTGTATAACAATTATTTAATTATTTAGTTCTTTTGTGTATGTGTAACAAGGAACATGTTCATGTGTATATATATATGATATTGTTAGTTCTTTAAAACTTATACTTTTGTGCTTTTATTTTATTTATTTATTTATTTTTGTCTTAGTTTTACATATTCACTTTTGTGCTTTTTATTTTATTTATTTATTTTTTGTCTTAGCTTTTCATGAATATGTCCAATGTTAAGTTTAACAATCATCCTAATATATTTTGTGTAACAAGTATTTGATAATTTAGTTATTTTGTGTAGGTATAATAAGAGACATGTTCGTGCTATATATATATAATATTGTTAATTAAGTAAATGTTCTACATATAGTAGTATATCATCTTACAATTTGATTGCTTTTAACATAGAATAATATATTTCAAATTCAAAACTATATTTTTTGTTATAATGTTACTAGAACAATGAAACTAAAATAATTTGTCATCAAAATGTTTTTTTTTTAACTTTTAATGTGTCTTTCTAGTACCAAATTAAAATATAGTTGCAAAAAATATACTTTCGGATACCAAAATAATGTTTGGTAATGAAAAACATAATTTTTTACTACTAAATTTTAGTAGCAGAAAACATGATTCTGCTGTTAAATTCATATTTTGGTGGCAAAAATGCATTTTTTACTACCAAAAGATGTGTTTGGTAGCAAATCTTATATTTTGTGCTTTTATTTTGTTATTTTAATTTTTCATAAATATGTCTTAAATTAAATTTAATAATAATCTGAGTATATTTTGTATAACAAGTATTTGATAATTTAGTTGCTAAAAAAATTCAAAAAAAAATTTTGATAAATTTTTCAATAGGTAATGTTTTATATATTTATTGATATATATATATATATATATTAGAATTTCATGAAATCTCTTGAAAATGGTTTCCGCCCAAATTCCCAAATTTTCGCTCGCTTAGCCATTCTCTCATTTTTTTCACTCCACCCAGCCTCTCTCTCACTCTCCTTTCTCCACCGCGCCGTTTCTCTCAGACTCTCAGTCCAGACCCACCCTACCTATCCTCACCCTCACCTACCGGCACCGTAGGCACTGCCGCTTCTTCATCTTCTTCTATTCTCTCTGGAGTCTGGATTCTCCACTCTCTCCGTCAGATTCGACCTTGGGAAGGCAGTGGAACAGATCAACAGATTCGGTGCTTGGGGGTTTTGGTTGGTTTTTGCTTATTGTGCTGTCTTTCAGCTACGATATCAAAGAATGCTTTCCTTTCTTCCTCTCTCGTCCATAGGTCAGTGAAAGAAATTTCGCATTTTTTTTTTTATGATTCTGTGTATAAGATGTTGAATTCCATGCTTGTTTTTCTACTTTTTATAAGAAGGGGTTTGCTTTTATTATACTTCATTCATTATGCTTTGTTATGACCGCATGCTGTTTGATGAAATTACCGTTAGAATAGTGGTTATTATTATTTATTTTGATTGCTTTTCCTGAGCAAATTACCCAAGGTGCTTGTCTGTGGATTGTATTCTTTATTTAATTGTAATTTGATCAATTGGGTTTGTTTTGATTCGTATCTAAATGGGTGCAAACTGTTTTGATTGCTTTGCTTTGCTATTTAGAAAGAGTTAAATTGAAGAACGAAAAGACAAGATCTTTGAACTGAAAAGATCTTGTGAAATCCCATATTCAACATTTGGCGAGGTTTAGGCTGCATCTGTTGTTTTGTTTTTAGTAGGGCTGCATCTGTTGTTTTTTGTACTGGTGGGAGAGGGAGAAGGAAGGGCTTGCCGGGGCGACTGTCAGGGCCGGGGTCAAGTGCTTGGGGGTTTTGGTTGGGTTCTGCGATTTGGAGGATTGGAATAAGCACAATAATCGTTTCAAGGTAAATTTGAGTTTTCTGAGCCGTTGTAGCTATATTGCCAGAATAAAGGCTTTTCATTGCTTATTGTTGCTGCTGCTGCTGCTGCTGTTGTTGTTGTTGTTATTTTTTCCCCTGTTTCCTCCAAGCTAATCTTCTAGGGCCTTCTTTTGATGCACATTGTGAACAAGTAGACATGAAACTGAAATATCAATTGTTAAGAGTGAAAAAGCTGGGACAAAGCAATTACTTCAGTTTTACAGAACCTACAGAATAGTGCATTCTTGATGTTGTTGGTTAATCATGAATCATGATGTGTATCATTGCTTGTGGTGTTAATATGCTCGCATAAAACTCATTCATGTGTATGTGGACTTGGGACATAGTCACATAGTCCAATTGCTGAAAATGCTATACATTGCAATATTTATGGTAGTGTTTCTTTGTTTCGTGACAAAAGCTAAATGGCAACACTGGTAATCGTCCTTATTAGTTTTTCAACTACCAAGAAATTGAAAATGTATGGGACTTGTGTCATAATTAGTAGGTCGGTCTCAAAGTTGACATTTCAATATGTGTAAGTATGGTCTCTGGCGATATATAGCATTCCTCTATTATGTTCGAAGTGGGAATAAAGTCTTACATATGGTGATAATTGGTCGATGTTCAAACTGAGTCGTTGATTGTCTATGGTAGTTTAAATTTGTTGTAGAAATGGCGTGAACATAATATAGTAGAATTGATGATATAAAGCTTGAGGGTTCATCGATAGACTCACTATCGAATCATGTTTAGGACTCCCTTTTCCATGCATCAGCCATTTAGGTGGCCATGCGCTTTCTTGATATTGGGATATTGCAGTTTGAGGTGCTTTTACTTATAGAATTCAGCTTCTTGTCAACTTGCATTACTTTTTCACGTCTGATAAGGCTGGTGCAAGTAACTTAAGAATCATGACTTGTGATATTTTTTCTGTATTCAATAATTAATGTGTAATATTAATTTCTTTGCAGAACACACATTTGAGTTCTACCTCAAATACTTTGGGAGGGTACTTTGAGGTCTTCAAGAATACTCATTAGAGTGAATCACATGGATGGACAACTGAGAGAGCAAAGGAATATTATGTAAGAATTACTAAACACTTTATCATTTCATTAAATTTTGTATTTTTTTTATTTTAACTTGAAAATTTATAACACTTCACCTAATGTAGGAACAAATGATCAACACTCGCGATGCTCGTTTTAGTGAACTACCAGAGAGGGGTTTAGAACTTGACTACGATACGGAGGAAGAAATTTACTCAAGTTTTGTCAAATGATAGGTATGAAAAATATGGTTTCGAGCGTGGCATAGGTCTTGTATCAAGACAAGCATCACAAGTACGCAAATCTGGAGGGTTTGGATATGAAAACCTTCAAAATGAAGTTCAGGATCACAAACATCGTATGTCGGACGTAGAAATTCTAATGAAGCAATAACAAGAGTTTATTCAAAAACTACTTCAGCAGATCATCCTGGACCTTCCGTCCCAAGAAGAGAAGATCCTCCGCCACCACCACCACCACCACCGGCCTCAGTTTGTTAGAGCATTTAATTCTTGTAATATTAAGATTTTTCTAGTACAATATTTACATAAATGTTTGGGTTTGCTTAAGTATGACTAATTTAGTATTTTGTTTGGATTCTAATATGTATTGAAATATTTAGAGATTTTTAAATTAATATTTGGTATTTTATTTATATATATATATTTTAAAAATACATGTATATAAATCTGTCTCAGTTTTGGTGACTAAAAAAATTTGGTATCAATAAATTAGTTATTTGCTACTAAATATTTAGTACCTGAATCTTGTACTTTTCGTTACCAAATACATTTTGCTACCAAAAATTTAGTCTTTAAATTTTATATTTTTCTCTACTAAATACCTTTTGCTACCGAATATTTGGTCATTAAATCTCATATATTTCGTTATCAAATACAATTTGATACTAAATATTTGGTCCTTAAATATCATGGCTTTTGCTACTAAATACATTTTGTTACCAAATATTTGGTGACTGAATCGCGTACTTTTTGTTATTAAATATATTTCGCTACTAAAATTTCGGTGTCCTAAAGCTCACACTTTTTGCTATTAAAAACATTTTGCTACTGAAATTTTTGGTCTCCGAATATCATACATTTTACTACTAAATATATTTTGTTACCAAAAAAATTTTTGGTAGCAAAAACTATTTACTACCAAAATTTTAGTAACTAATACTTACTACAACACACTTTTTACTACTAAATTTTTTTTGGTAATAAAAATATTTTGCTACCAAAAATAGGGTTTTTAGTTACTAAATTTTTGGTAACAAAAAGTTTAAATTCTTGTAGTGAAAGATAAGTTCAGCAATTTTATGCTCTTTTGGTCTTATAAGGCCCCAAATAGGCTTGAGTCGACCTCACTTAGGATTAATTTTTCTTTTCTTTTCTTTTTTGTTTTTTGTTTGGGTACTGCATGGGATTATCAATATTTGTCGTGGCATTGCTCATTATGGCGGTACTGCATGAGTATTTGTTCGCTTTAGCGAAAGCTGTCTGATTTGAAGCTTTCTTTCCTTCTTTTTTTCGGGGGGGCTGATACAGTCTGATATTTGAATTGCTTAATTGTGCTCCTTTTAGGTGCTGTGCTATGTTCACAATTGTCTTTGTGTTTGTACAGTATCATCGCTGCATGCGTGCCTTGTGTTATGTTGTGTCGTTTCTCTGTTCTGATTTGTTTTGCATGGTACGTTTTGTGTCGTTTGTCCTGTATTCCGATTTCCATGCATGGCCTGATGTGTGAATTGCATTAATATTGTTGGTTTGCGTTCTCTTTGTCGTCTGTTTCGGTGTTGCCACCTTTCCTGTTCAGTTTTGCTATAGCCTCAAGTTGTATACTTACAGTTATCAAGTATCTCATTGTCATTATACAATAATTTAATTTTCTTTATTATTTCCATCATAAGATATTTATGAACAATTCTAATTAAGTTTGAAAATTTTAATTTTTAAAAAGTATTTGCACAAATAACAGAATACATGGCAAACCTCCTTTTTAAGCAATATATTTGTAAACGAGTGTGGAAATTTTGTTGCCCATCCCTAGGTTGAAGTGTGCTCAATAGTAGCATTATTATTGTGCATTTGTTTGTTGTGGTGTGCATTGTATCAAGTTATATTTCTATAAATTTTTAAAATAATTGATAAATTACTTTTAAAACATCAGATCTTTTCAAATATGAATTATTTTCAATGAAACTTGAATTCTAAACAGAAAAAAAAAAAAAATTGAAAGGAGCACGTATCCTAGGGGATAGGTTATCCCACACAACTGGGATTAGTTTTTGTGAAAATGTTTGTTAATCCTATCCAATGTCAATCACCAAACATAGGACTAGAACTAGCTAATTAATCCAATCCTTCTTTTATCCCATACGCCAAATACTCTCTTCATATAATTATTGTTATTTATACTATTATTAAGAAAATATTTATAAAAATTGAATTCCTATTAAATTCCTTACAAAATTTTTAGCTCAACATGATACTAAAATTTAATCCTAGTCAAGTCCCTTTTCTCTTCCCTTATCCTACACACCAAACATATCCAAAGGATTATGAAAGTAACATTCTAGGATAATATATATATATTTTTTGGTTATATAGGATATGAAAAATACCGGTAAGTAAGATGTAATTCTGGACCGTCAAAGTTTCAATAAATTTTGCACAATTATTAGGTGAATTAGAGAAATACAACTTTTAGAGAGTGGAAATTTGAACATACTATCTTCGTGAAAATATTTGAGCTTTATTTTTACATACAAATATACGAGTCTATAACTAAACTTTATGAGTAGTATTGGTTTAATATACACTAAACTATCCTACCTTGTTTGATTTGGAAAGATTTTGATTTATAATTTAAAGCTTTAAAACCGTGTCCTATCATTAAGGTGTTTGTCTCATATCCCATCATAGAACTTTTCATACTAATACCCTCGAAAACCTTTGTTTTTGATAAAATAGGGTCTGAAAACCCATCATAATTTCATGACAAAAGTATATGGTTTAATATGATTTTATTCAGATTTATTATTCATGTTATTTTAAATAATCAAGTATCATCATGATCTAATATTTTCTGTTAATTAATTAAATGAAAATTATTTATTTTTTAATAGAGTGATATATGTAATATTTTTTTACTGCCTCAAGTCTCTGTTTTTCCCTAAGGGAGAAAGAGAAAAATAGGCCAAGACTTTAGATGAATTAAAATTAATAGGCCAATAGTTTACATAAGTTAATAAATAGGCCAAATTAATGTTTACGTCCATAACTTGTCTGGTTATGAACCATAACTTGACAAGTTATTGTCCATAATTCACGATTTTTATCCGTAACTTGTCTGACTATGACCCATAACTTGACAAGTTTGTCCATAACTTATCTGGTTATGAACCATAACTTGACAAGTTATGACCTATTAATTTCTATAACTAAAAGTTGGCATATATACTTTCTTAACTTTTCATATTGGCCTATTTTCTACTATTTCCGTTTCTCTAATTTCATAAGAATAGAGAATGGCCCAAAAGGTTCCTTGGGCCTCCAATTCTCTCAAAGAGTTTAAGGAAGTCATTTAGGTAAGGACAATAAAGATTTATGTCATTTTAATTCATATATTCCCTTTCTCCTAATTAAAGAGAAAAAATCAAAAATATCACTCAAAATAATAAAAAATATCATACATGGTACTCCACCAAAAAATGTAATTGTCATTTGATTAAATAAATAGAAAACAACATGTCATAATGACGCATAGTTATTCAAAATAGCATAAATAATACACTTGCACAAAACCATGACAAATCATGTACTTTTCTCCAAATTCAAATCAAAAGGGATGTAACTTCAAATAATAATAATAACAATAATAACAACAACAACAACAATAATAACAATATTAAAAATAATAATAATAATAATAATAGTAATAAAAAAAATAATAATAACAACAACAACAACAACAACAACAATAATAATAATAATAATAATAATAATAATAATAATAATAATAATAATAATAATATTAATATTAACAACAACAACAACAATAAATAAT